TAGCAGGACACCCCCACCCCAACTCCTCCGGACTCCTCCACAGACGGCTCTTTTGGCGGGTCCTCCTGAGGGCCCCTTTCCTACCCCGTCACGCCCCATTTCCATCCAGGTTCTGACCTCGCACAAGCCCGGGGCAGCAGTCACCTGTTTTCTCCTGCAGTTGTGCGCTGAGGGCACCAACACCGAGCAAACAACTCGTGTCCGACACCTGTCCCTGCACTCGCCCACGTCCTGAGAGGTCGCTGCTGCTCCTGAGACTTGTTGCTTCTTGTTCATTTTCCCTCTGCACTGGTCCTGAAGGCCTCTAGGCTGCCTCCTGCCCCAGACGTGCTAAGAATACTCAAGTGATGGCAGCGGTGACCCACTTATTAGCAGATGCCACAGCCCAGGGGCACAACGCCTGATGCTGAAAGTACACAGACCAAGGCAGGGGACGGAAATGTCCTTGGGAAGAGCGCTCAATTCCAACCCTACCCGAGCAAGAGGAAAAGTCCACCTGACTACTGGGAGCAAGGAGCGACACAAAGACGTGTCAAAGTCGGCCGGCAGAATGTCCACAAACACAGGTCATTCACCGGGCACCACCCCTGGGCAGCGTCGCCTCAACCCCCTGCAAAGGTCAGGCTCCCACTGCTGACAAAGAGGCGCTCTACATCCTGCACTCTGCATTGCAGCCAGGGCCACCCTATGAGTGCAGTCTGTGGGCCTGTGTTAGGCGAGCAGAACAAGTCTATTCTCAGGGCAAGAAGATTGTGCAGAGAGCCCAGAGTGCTGGGCTTCTGCCTCAACTCAGGGACCATGGGAAGCCGTCATCTCCAAGTCTCAGTTTTCCCTGCTGTAAAATGAGCTGATGCCCTGTACTGTACTGTGTGGCTAGAGACCTAAATCAGAAATGAGCAAGTGACAAGGAACAGGTTGCCGTGATGCGCGATGACCCTCGGTGGGGAGGTATGTTGGGATCTTGCCTGGGCACGGCCATGAGGGTGCGCTACTCCCTTCTCCACCCCTCACTAACAAAGTCCTTTCCCCTTAGAAAGAAGCCAGTCTGTTCACAGAGGGGACCGCATGCCGTGTTGAGTGCTGCAGAAGGACAAAGCCAGTGTGGCAGTGTGAATTGGAGCCAAAGGGGAATTAGGAAATGTGGTCTGTTGATTGACTGAGACCACAGGGCTCTTGCTGAAGCCCTGCAAGGCTGCTTCTCCTCTAACCTGAGCCGAGTCTGGGGCAATCTACACCTCTAGGAAGCGGCTAGCAGGCGTAACTTCCGACGATCCTCCCACCTTCTTAAAGGGGGATGCGGAAGGGAGTTTGGGAGAGAGAGTGGCAGGGCACCCGCCAGGCACTTGCAGACTACATCTCTTCAGAGTCACCTGTGCTCCAACTCCTGAGCTCAAGGCAGGGTAGCAAACAGGGTGACCTTGTCCTATTCCAAGGCCCCCTGCTCAACACGGTCAGTTTGCGGCCGGGTCTCCAGCCAGGATAAGCTCAGCGCTGCCATCTGCGCTCTGTGGGGGCGATGCGGGCTCGGCTGCCTGTGACCCAGCAGCATCTGCTTGCTGGTGAGTGGTGATGCTGCCCGCTTCTCTGAATAGCGGAAAGCTTTCCACACTCGCGGAGTCCCCATGTCCCCTCAGGGTTTCCCTCTGTCGCCCTCCGGGAGGAGGATGGAATGATGGGCTGGGAAATGCGATGGGAATGAGGAAGGGCAATGAGAGACTGGGCAGTGCCCTGACCCCAGGAGGGCAGCACACCTCCCAGACCCCCCGACAGTCTGAGTCCCAACAGACCCATTGACACACCCCCACCACCTCACCAGGGGTCCCTGGCTCCTTTGCACGGCAGCACAGGAAGGAATGAAATGCCAGATTCTGACTTTGTCTCTAGCAAAGCCAGAGCAGCTTTGTGGAAAGAATCCCAAGATGCTCCCTAGCCTGGAGGCAATGTTACCCATCTGAAAGAGCTGGGCCCGGACACTTTCTCATTCCATTCTTCAAAGGAGCTGGGGGTGCGGGTGGGGGGTGGGAGGCCAAGACTCCAAGGTCAGTTGAAAGCAGATCCCGATAACGCTCACGGGCCCTAGTCGCAGGGCCCGTCCACTGCTGGCTCCAGCTGTGCCCCACGCGGGGGCACCTGAGCGCGTACGCGGAGCAGCAAGTGATTCAGGGAAGCCTCCGCCTCACAGCACCCTGCTCTGTGGCCACCACAGGAAAGAGGAACTGACTCATATCAGCTGCACTGGGAATCACAGGATGCGGACAGGGGTCGAGGATGTGGGGAGAGGAGGAGGAATTTTCCATTCTTAAGGTCAAGGGCTTTGGGAGGCAACTGGTAGCTGCTGGTGGAGGAAGCGCCCTTCTTAGGCATAATCATGATGCTACACACAGACTGGCCTCGGAGATAGTTAATATCTCAGATATTCTTATTCTGTCTGAGCTTCTCAGGAGCTTTCCTGGGAAGAAACAGAAGAGATGGTTTCCAGAGGACTTTCTGAAAATTAAGCCACAATATAAAAGCCTGTATCTTTATTCCACAGAACAGACTGTCCCAGAATAGCAATGAAGAAGTGGTTCTTACTAGGCCCTTCTAAAAATGCAGGCTGGGTAGGGGCATCATCTACCTGAGACAAAGAGATGATCTGTGCATGGGGCGGCAATGTGCTTAGACCCACCGCACCTGTGCCCTGCTTTGGGGACTGTTTATGTGGAGTCTGGCTGCTGGCAAAACCAGAAACAGTGGGTGTGGGGGGGGTGGGGCACTGTAGAGTCGATACAAGGGATGGATGATCTGAACCTGAATAACCAGGGGCAAGGAGAAAGGCTGGCCCTCCTGGCATCTGAAGAGGACACTTGCTGGAATGCAGCTGCTGGACTTGGGAGAGGAGGACACCCTCCTCACCTGCAAGAGGGCTCTACTCTGAGGAAGGAAACCCCCAGCCTTGCCCCTCCCCCAAGTCACTCGATGGGGGAGAGGCTTCAGAGAGATGCAAGCATCAGTATTTAGGGTCCGAGGCTCTGCTGTTCCGGAAGCCACACACAAAACTATAAAGTGACTTCTGAAATGATCCCCAGCCCATCTGCCTCAAGTCTCTCAGAAGAGAAAGAAGAGAATAGGCCAGGCCAAAGGCCCTGGGCAGACGGAAGCCCTGCAGTGAAAAAGGCGAGGGTTATAATGGGATGAGGGGAGCAATGGGGCAGAGAGCAGCCCCGAGGGGCTGCCAGCCTTCTTGCCCCTTTTCTGCAGCTCCCAGATCACTCCCAGGTCTGGAGCGTTTGTCGGCACTAGGACAATTAGCTCTATGAGTTATACATGCAATATCTGGGAGATGAAGGCAGTAATTAATGCCTGTCTGCCTTCCTGAGGGCTTCCTCCTGTTTGGTCAGAATTATTGAGACGAGGGGAGGGAGGCTTCCGTCATGAGGAAGGTTCATAGGAATAAGTGAAAGCGCAGTTTAACAAGGCAATAATAATGCTTCTGAATAATTTACCAAGCGAATGACAGCAGCCAGTACTCCTGGGGCTTGGTCTCCGCTCTGCGGCGGGGGAGTGTGCCAGGCAGGGTCTGCAGACTCCAGCAGTTTCCCCGGCAAAGACCCCGAGTGGCCGGGCTGCTGTTGTTCCCCCCTGGAGCCTCTCCGACGCCTCTCTCCCTCCCCTCCCCTCCATCTCCTCCCCTGCCCATGATGAAGCAGGTCGGAGGGATCCAGAGGGCCTTATACTTAGGGATACTTCGGCTAATTTATCAATTACAGTGCACTGAAATGCTAAGAGGTTAACAAGGCCTCCGTCCCTCCATCGTCCCGACTGCCATGCTGGTCCCTGTGCCACCATCAAAACCGGGGAGGTGGAACAGGGCACTGGACAATCTAACCTGCTACCTCACTCCCACCAAACCTGCCGGGGAGCATCATGGACATAATTCTAGTACACGACAAATTCTTAGCTGTCGCTCAGTGTGCAAGAGGGAAGCACAGATCACTGACCAACTGCTCCTAAAACGCAGACCAGCATTTCTCTGTGGTCTGTACCACAGGGCTCCTTTCGCAGGTCTGTAAGCCCGGACAGGGGAGGCACAAAAAACCCATTCAGTGGTCCTTGGGGTTAACAAGGCTGGACCCAAATAACGCAGCTGGCAGGGCCTGCGGAAATCTCTGCCAGGACAGGGATGACGGAGTCAACAGGCCGCCACCTGAAAGTCTGGGCCCTCTCCTGGCCCCTGCCTCCCCCTTCAAATCAGCTAAGTGGCCACATGTCAACCCGTGTGGCACCCAGCACACCTGAATCTGTGCCAGGGCTGAGGAGAACCACGGGGAGCAGAACGTATTAACAGATACTGCAAAAGCTGAAGGGAAACATTTGTGAGCCCTGCCCACGAAGCAGGCAGAGATAAATAGCTGCCTCTGGTCCGCGTCTTATTATCAGAAGCCTGACTGGCACCACCCCCACCGCACCGTGGCCCAAAGCAATCAAGAAGGAGCCTGGAGATTCATCTTCTTCCCCTGTCCACAGGGAGGTGGGCAGACAGGAGGATGGCTGGGCTGATCCCGCCCTGGCTGCAGAGCCTGACTTGGTCAGGGTCAAGTGTAAGATGGAGCAGGCCTGCACGCCTGGTCAGGAGACCCAGCTTCTGCCTGCGAGCTCTGGGCTGGCACCGAGTAAGATTAAAACCTGGAAAGTCTGGGGCATGAGATCTGGGACCCTCAAAGTGATCTGCAGAGACCATCCCTCAAACCCTGAGCTAAGTCCAGGACAGTTCATGGCCCTGGAGCTGGAAGGACCTGGATGCCAACTCCAAACTTGAGGCCTGGTCCTCAGGACACTCTGGGGCTACAGACTTAGTGACGTCATCCATTTCCTGCTAGAGCCAAGACCCTGGGGTTCAGCCACAGTAACGGAGATGTGTAGGTGCTTCCTCCCTGGGTTCTCCCAGAGAGGAAAGGTGGTTCAGAGCCCTCCGCCGCCCAGGACGGCCCTAGCACCTCAGGCTGGGTGGGGACACTCACCAGATAGATGCGGTAGGCGTCCACTCGGCGCAGGGGACCCCAGCACAGGTCAGTGTCGTTGTACTTGGTGTCTGCCTCCACGCCGCAGGAGTCATTGCCGGAGGCACTGCTGAGAGGATAACACCAGGCCCAGGCTCGGGGTGCCCTCCCCACCCTGTCTTGGGATGACACAAAAGTGCCCCCTCCACAACCTGACTTTGCATAAACCATCTCTTAGGAGGCGCCCCACTTGTTCCAAATGACTCAGGGGCCCTTGGGAGAATCTGAGCCATCTTCCCAACAGGGCAGACAGAGTGCCAGCAGTGCAGAGTGTGCCTCCCAGGGACCGAGGGCAGAGCTGGCTGGGGCACTGTGGTGAAGGGCCTAGGGGGAGTCTACCCTCATCAGGTGCCACAGACTTGCTAGGCTTCACACCTCCCTGATGGCCACTGCCCCTGCTGGCTGGGGAGGCGTAAGGGGCGACGGCCAGCCTGGAGGGTGACGGGGGTACTCACCAGGTCACCTGCATGAGGGAGAAGGGCACAGCTGCCGCATAGATGGCCAGGTCCCCATACAGGTAAACGATGATGCAGAAATAGAACAAGTTGACCCCCACTGAAAGCAACAAAGCCGCAGGTCAGGGAGCCAGAGCGAGATGGTAGCGCTTCTTTCTGACAACTAAATGTGCACCTCTTCTGTCGCTTTCGGTTCCCAAGCTGTTTACTTCCTACCAAAAGTGGAAAAATGACCCCAGAGTCCTGTTTCTTGATCTGGCTGGCTACGCTGTGACAAGACACATTGCACCGAGAGGGCTTTGCAAGACCCGGAGACGCCAGAGATTCTGAATCTGGACCAGTGCAAGGAGAGCGTGAGGAATGGCTGGCCCAGAGGAACCAATGGCCTGAGGGTCCTTTATGCTCGGGACAGGCCACGGGGGGAAGGGAGGAGACTCCTGAGTCAAGAGAACGAACCCTCTAGTGCACTGGGGCCAGGGTCTCTGCAGCCAATACACAGCTTAGGACCAGAGGTCACTACTGAAGACTTAAGCACAGAAGGTGATGGAAAATGGTACAGTTCTCCAAAGCTGAAATTGATAGCATGGAAAGTGCTTCATTTCCAAAGACCTGGTGCCTCTTTCTGAATCTGATTAATCACCCAGCACCGGGTGGCCCAGCGAGGCCTGATGTACTGGGAGAGACAGTGCTCACCGCAAGCTCCCTTTCCCTCCTGCAAGGGAGAGGGATGGCTCTGGAAGGTGCGTGACATTGGCGCGCCCTCTGCAGAGGCAAACCGTGCCCCCTTCACTGCAGAAGGAGCCTGAGCCCGAGGCTGGGAGTGCAGAGCCCTCATCCTAATTTCATCAGACTCGTTTCTCAATCCTGGCAAGTCCCTGACATCTCTTACCTTGTGCAACGAGAATTCCACCCATGTTACCTTCCGCAAGTAATCCCAGCTATAAAGATCTGCGGCAGAAGCCCTGGAGAAAGCATCGGGGCTCTACAACATACGGGTCACAGCCCCTGACTACCAGCCTCAAACAGCCTCAGAGAACTGGCTGAGCCATTAGCTCAACTGCTGGCTTCTCTAAGAACAGGAAAACAAAAAAATGAAGCGACAGTTCCTTTCTAATCCTGGTGGCTCAAAAGAACCTGCAGGGTCCCCAGGGAAAAGCCTAGGACATGTTACTCCTTGGCCATGTGAGGTCAGCTCTGCTCCTACAAATCTTGAGGAAAAACAACAGCAAAACATACAGGTGGTGGGGTGTGTGTGTGTGTTACTGAGGACTGAACCGAGGACCTTTACCGGGAGCTACCCTTGCCCACCGCCCCCTTTGCAGACAGGGTCTTAATAAGTTGCTAAGTTGCCCAGGTTGGATTCCTATGCTCCAATGTAGAATTCTGCCTCGGCCTTCCAGAGTGCTGGGATTACAGGCCCGCACCACCACATCCGGCTGCAAACACGAGTTCTTAAAGGACCCATGAGGGTCCGGCACCTGCGTTTTGAACACACTAGCTGACACATCCTTCCTTCATGTCAGAGACGGCCCTGACTTCCAGACTCAGTGGCCCCTGGGCTGCCTGTCACCCACACCTGCAGCCCGCTTCAGCCTGCCTTTCTACTCTGACATCAGTGTTCTCAACAAGGCGGCACCGTCCCCTCCCGGCTCCTTTCCTGCCACCTGCCAGCGGCTCTGTGTTGGCAGCTTTCTGGCTGTTTACAAACTGCCACCGGCTCTCCTTGATCAATAAAATTTCATTCCTAGATACAAAGTGGGAGGATCAGTGAGCTTCCTCAGAGGACATCAGCGACAAGGCCTGGCGTTTCTCATTGTGAGAAATGAGTAGAGACTCCAAGGGAGCGCTGGGGAGGGGGGCAGCCCTGCCAAAGGCGAGGGTGACAACTGAACGGTCCGTGAGCTATGAACAGAGCAGGGTAGGGGTGACTCTGCACCCCACTGCCTACTGGGGACACCTGTCCAGAGACAGTGTTCACTGTCACAACCAGGGGTTGCTCTGGGCACCTAGCACCAGGGACACCGCTGAACATCCTGCAGTGCCCAGGCCGGGCCCCCGTGGTGACCAGTCCTCTGCCCCAGCGTCAACAGTGCTGAGCTTGAGAAACCCTGCAGGGGACGGCAAGGAGGCTCCTCCAGGCGTGCGGCAGCTCCCCACAGACAAGCCGCTTTCTGTGAGACTGAGGTGAGTGGGGAGTCGGTCTATGGGGGTGGGGGACAATGACAAAACGAAGCACTCATCCCTCGAATTCTTACAGAAATGGGGGCAGATGCAGAACATAAAAATAAGAAAGGAGGCTCAGAAAAATACACCTTCTCCCTCTGATGTGCACTGCACTTTGAAAGCTTTCTTTTGGAAGAGGACAGTGTGGCTGCCGGGGAGGAGGGTAAGCGGTGATGCTTTCTCGGCCTGGTGAGATGGGGTGGGACAGAAATGGGACAAAGGAAAAGCACAGAAGTGGGCTGGGCACTGGGAGCCCAGTGAGGAATTCTGGGAACCCTCCTGGAGGCCCGTCCCAGAGCAAGGGTGGAGCCGGGCCTCAGGGAATGTGTGCTGATAAGTACTGCCCCTAGGGCAGACTGTCGTCCGCGCTGAGTCAAACTGAGGGTCTAGTGTCCTGAAAAGCAGGGAAGACCCTGCTCTGTAGCCCTGGCTCTGTGTGAAGCGCAGTCACACTCAAGATGAGACAGAGCCGATGGAGACGGAGATGCCCCACTCCAGAGGCTTCCACAGAGAAAATCTTCCACGACAGCTGCAAGGGGAGGCACTCATTGAGACTATGCCTAACTCTCTCGGCAGTGGAAACGCACAGGTTTGGGCCTTAAAAATGAAATTCTTTCAGTAGCTCTTCTTCCAGAAGCTCAAGATTTGCCACAGGGGTATAGGTGGGAGCTGGGTGGATCCCTGCAGGCTGTAGCCAAATACGCCTGAGGGACACGCAGCAGGGAGGGAGCACAGCGCCTTCTCCCTACAGGGCAACCCGGGCATGGGCTCCGAGCGCCCTCTGCTGGCCACCTGGAGCACAGGCCCAGGCAAGCATGTGGCAGAGGGTATCCTCCCAGACAAAACAGTCTACAAATCTGAAGCATCTGTGGGTACCAGGTGTGGTGGCCTACTACTAATCACAACACTTGGGAGGCTGAGGCGGGAGGACTGCTGCAGGTTTGAGGCCAGCCTGGGATACACAGAGAGTTCAAGGCCAACCTGAGTTATGTAGTGAGACCCTGTCCCAAAAAAAACAAACTAAACCAAACCAAACCAAACCAAACTAAACCCAGCAGAGCAAATAAGAACCCCAAAACTACCAGATGGCCTCCACCAGCTTTCTCTGTTGGAGAGCTCCTGAGGATTCCTGGTCTCTACTAGGGTAGCCGCTTCTTTATTTGAGTTGATGGGACAGGGAGGATTTCAAGCAAACCGCTGAAAGCAGGACAGGCCTCTCGGCAAGGACACCTCTCAGGTGCCTTGGAGCAAGTGGACAATCTGTTCCTCCCCGTGGCCCACCTTGTCCCTAGTCTTCCAGGACGCTCCAGGCCCAGGTCTGCAGGGAAGGACTTTCTCCACTCCCTCCCCCAAAGGTGCTAGTACCTTTATTGAAGAACATGGAAGCCATCTGGCCCATTTCCACCCGGTCTGTGATTTCAAACAGGTTGGGAGGTGCACGTCTCTCTGTGGAGCCAAAAGGACAAGGAAGTTCTTCACTGGAAGAGCTCCAAGAGGGGTCGCTGAGCCCAGTGAAGTCTCCGGGATAAGGAACCCCCAAGCATCGCAAACTCTTGAGAAAACTTTTCCTAACGTCTCCTGCTTGAAGCACCTTGTAAGTCTTTTTTTTTTTTTTTCCTGCTACTACTGGGCTGGAACCCAAGGCTTTGTGTATGACAGCCAAGCGTCCTACCACTGAGCCACACTCTGTCTGTATTTTTAAGAGAATTCAGGGACGCTCCTCAAGGGGTAAGAGGGAGAAGAAGACTCTTAGCTCTGGCCAGCAGAGATCAAGGATGAGACAGTGCGTCAGGGGCCTGTGCACGAGGGGTGAGGAGGAAGGTCGGAGCCGGAGACCCCTATTCACTCAGTCTTCCAAAGGGCACGAGCTCAACTGTGTGCCAAGCTGCAAATGTGAGTTAGAGGCAGAGCCAAGGTCTGTGCTCTGCTTACCCTACCATGGTGCCTTCCTAGGAACCGAGGTACAGACAGGAAATAGCAGAGGACGTCTGTGGGGAGACTCCCCAGGGCCCTCTCCACAAAGAAATCGAGCCCCATGAAGCAGAGGGAGCACGGGGCCCGCCCAGAATCCCCCGACTTACGCACAGACAGGATGGGCAGTTTCTCTGCCCGCTCGTAGCTCTCCTGAGAGAGAATGTCGCTGTCTGAGGCTGTGGAAGAGTCGTCCTCTTCCTCCTCCTGGGAGGACACGGTGGGATGGGTGGGAAGGAAGAGGAAAGACAGGTAAAGGGATGATTGTGGCGCTACAGACACCCCAGGGGCCGGTGATTGTTCTTCCTTTGCTCTCTCTCTCTCTCTCTCTAGAAGGCATCTGACTAGGAACTGTCACCCGTCCTCATTGTCACGTTAGAAGGTGAAGACACACCACGCATAGTTCTTGGGGACGGAAGCTCACAATGACTGCGCTAGCTCAAGGCAGGCGTGTGAGGGACCAATGCTGCGATGCTAAGACAGCAGACACCGCTCTGTTGCCTTTGTGTGGCTATTAAGCTGCAGCTCTGGGGGACTGGGGATTTAGCTCAGCGGCACAGCGCCTGCCTGGCAAGCGCAAGGTTGTGAGTTCAATTCCCGGTACTGGAAAAAAACTAAAAAAAAAAAGCTGCGGCTCTGGGGCTTGGAATCGGGCTCCCGCACTGGGAGAAGAGTGGGCTGCTGCTGTCCCTTGGGCACACAACCGAGGAGAGGCCCGGGGACAAGGGCAACACACACACCTTGTGGGTTTCCATTCTCTTCCAGCGGAGCTGGGCGTTGGCTGCGGCCATGGCCTCCACCACAAAGGTAGTCGTCACGAAGCTGAGGGGGAGCCGTGTGTTAACAGGGAGGAGGCTGCAGGAGGTGCACAGTGACCCAACCAGCAGCCCCGCAGTGGCCCCTCTGAGACCGGTTCCCTAGAGACATTTTGAGACGGGTCTCTCTTGGTAAAAAGTGTGCCTGTCCATGTTGCCTTAATAGCATTTTCTTTCCTTCTTTTTTTTTTTTTTTTTGTCTTTTTGAGACAGAGTCTCTCTATGCAGTTCAGGCCAGCCTTGAGCTCACTTTGTAACCCAGGCTGGCCTCGAACTCCGCAACGATCCTCCTGCCTCAGCCTCCCGAGTGCTGGGATTACAGGCATGCTCCACCACGCCAGGCTATCTTAATAGCATTTTGGATGACACTCAGGAGAGAGGGAGCTGAGGTGGAGGTGACGGGTAGGGGGCAATGTGGCACTGCGCCCCTGGAGGGGGCCTGCTGGGGTAGACAGTAAATCAGAGTTGGAGGGGAGGAGGACTCAGAGGGACGCTCAGAGCTCCTGGAGGGACAGCGGGCAGCTTTACCTCTCCTCGGAGGTCACAGGTGAGCAGTTAGCTCCCAGTTACATACCCTAGTGCAAACAGATAACTGAAGACCGCACTGGAGTCCGTCCCTTTCTGCTTTTGGAATCATCTGGCTAATATTAAAATAAACTTTCATAGCCGGGCGTGGTGGCACACATGTCTGCAATCCCAGCACTGGGGAGGCTGAGGCAGGAGGATCACTGCGAGTTTGAGGTCAGCTTGGGCTACGAAATGAGTTCAAGGCCAGCCTGAACTGCACAGCAAGACCTTGTCTCAAAAAAAGACTAAATTAACTAATTAATTAATTAAACTTTCATTACTATGGCCGGAATCTAAAGGGGGACTGGGAGGAAGCACCAGATACTCACCAAGAAGTCAGACTAGAGCACAGAAATCATCTTTTCTTCTCCACTTACAGAAACTAGAGCCTAGGTGGACACCGAAGCACACAGTGCTGCCTTGCAGTGCGTAAACCCGGGGTGTGAATCCGGCCCTGCCATTCAACAGCTCAGGACGGACGCTGTCTCCCTCTCTCCCAGGACGGGTACGGCTCTGTCCCTGTGTGCTCAGGGGCTGACGACAGAGGGTAGTGACCGCTCAGCCTTGTGGGCAGGTAGCAGGTGGCAGAGGAGCTGCTGAACCCCAAAGCAGTTACGCCCAGATCCCTTTACCTCGGTGAGGGAGACAGCAGGCGGGAGGGGCAGCCAGGCCCGAAACTCCCATCCCGATGGCCTCAGCACCTCCGGGAAAGGTTTCTCGTCATCTTGCCTAACTGACCATTTTAAGGGCTTTAGAATTTCTCTTCAGTCTGTAAGTGAAACTGAAATCAATCTCAAGGCATAGAGACTTCTCATGGTGCACGAAGTGAACTCACTGAGCATGCTCAAATAGAAATGGATTTAGCAAACGGGGGGGGGGGAGGATGGCAGCCCTCCTTGGGCCCCCTGATAATTACTTCCCATTCAGACAGCTGCCTGTGCAGAAGGCCCTTTGATGGGGACACAGCCACATTGGGACAAGAACTTCTACAGCTCCTGACAGACAGCGCTTGAAGTATGTGATGAGCCAGCAGTACACCAAGGTTTACCTCAAAACTCCCCGAAAGAAAAGCATCAAGAAACTGCAAAACCTGGCCCCTTTTCTAGCCCTTTTGGTCCTCTGGGTCTCAGTTCGCTTCAACTACTTAGATCTGCTTCGCTCTTCTCCCAGTGCCTGTCCCTCCTCCTTCAAACCTGGGCTTTACTGCTGCCCTCCGGGGACCCTCGGACCCTACTCAAACCTGCAGTCACCCCACCCCCAGCCTCTCGCCCTGCTGGGTTCTGCCTTTTCCCCACATTACGCATCTTCCAGTTCCTCTGCAATGTAATCACTTACCATGGTCACTACCATCTGCCCTCGAGCTGCAGCTAAGCCTGTGAGGGCAGGGTGCTCCCCACACGGAGAACGGTGCCTGCCGTGCCGAGGTGGGGTGGCACCTCTCAGGGACATGCTACTGGGGGGTTTCTCCAGGTACTCCTTCCTGCCTCTTTTATGTGGACTCCTACCTGATCAAACAGGCTGGACATGCTCAGTCCTAAATCCCTTAGCAGCCTGGGCCTCTTGGGAAATTACTTCAGATGGCACCAGTCCCCAAGAAGACCTCAGGTAGATTCTGCCTATTCTGAAGCCCCAGCTGGGACTCCCACATACCTGGCTCGTGGAGCAGATGCCCCAAAGGTGTGGGAGGCACAAGGCAGATCACTTAAGAACTGACCGCAGGAGCGTGCACCTGCATACTCATCACTTACTTGGTTAATTATCTTAGGCAAATTCTAAATTCCACACCCATTTCCCAGATCACCTTAATGCGTGTGAGATGCCTGTTGGCTCTGTCTGTGGCTATCTGGTATTTTCTCAGAGAGCAAGAACTGATGGTTAACAGTAACGAAGTATGGCAAAGGACAGGCAGGCTACGGGATGAGACAGCACCGCCTGAGACATTCCCGAGCTAATCTGGTGTCTCAATGTGTAACTCATCCGGGTTATGCAAGTGCTCCATACCTAGGAGGCACCGGCAGACCTTTGCACTTCCTCTCCCCAGGCCACTCTGCTCAGGGCTCACCGACAGGTAGAAGGCCACCTTCCCACCCCGGAGGCGGCTTCCTGTTAGTTAAGGGACATTCAGGCATCCTGGGAAGCCACTCTCCAGCTCTCCCTCCAGGCCTGAGTGACAGCCTCCTGCACTACTCACCTCATCAAGCCCAGGAACACCAGGAGGATGAGGCTGACGAGCCACCCGGCAGTGGCAAAGGCCTTGGGCATGGTGAGGGCGCCTGTGCCCACGATGAGGTTGAACATGTACACCAGGCCCACCTGGAACCACAGGGGTGACAGTGAAACCCGGAAGTCAGTTAGCCTCTCATGGCCCCAAGGATCATCCACCTTCCAAGACTGCGGCCAGGGAGGCAGGCGAGGAGGGACAAAGACCCTGGGTCCGAGGGAGCCAGCCTCTGCATCCAGGTGTCAGGGAAGCAAAAGTTTAACGCTCGAACGACACACGCCCCAGTCTATCTGCTCTGAGTGACAGCTTAGCCTCCACTGTTGCTGTCATCACTGCAGACTCTCCGAGGCTGTGTCACAGATGCCAGCACTCTGCCCAGCCAGGCTGTAGCCGCCCTCCGCTGCTCCCTGAGCCAAGCTGCGAAAGGCGCCCGGAGGTGTTTCCCTTGAATCATGATCGGCCCTACCACAAACTCGAGGTTCCTTTCCCCCATGTCTGGCAGCAGCAGATTTTATTTCTTTCTTCTGGCATTTCTCACAGCAATAGCTCCAGCTCATTCTTCCAGCCCCCAGACCCGTGACCCACCTCTCTCAAATGGAGGCTCCCTTTTCTGCTCCGTGGAGGTGACTGAGGCTGTGTGCTACGTGTTCCCAGAGGCTCACGCCTTCCCAGCTTAACAGGCCACAGGGCCTGCCCCTTCCCTGCCCGCCTCTGAGGGACACATGTTGCTCCTCCTGGCCGAGGCTGAGGTGGTATGTCAGCCTCGCAGCTCATCTCCCCCTGCAATTCCCTCTTCCCACTAGCTCTTCCCTTTGGCCTACACACTTTCTCGACATCTTTAAAACATGACTTGTTTCTCCTTCTCTATGCCAAACTCAGAGAGAAGCCAAGCTGTTTCCTCTGCCTTCATTCCTACTCCCTGTAATCTCAGCAGTTAGGAGGCTGAGGCAGGAGGATTGCCTTGAGTTGGAGACCAGCCTGGGCTACAGAGCAAGCTCTGTCTCAAAAAACAAAAACAAGAACCAAAAAAAAAAAAAGACAAACACCTTATCTCTAGGAACCCCACTCAACTCTCACTTTCACTTCTTAAAAAGATATACCTTCTTATATCTATTTTTAAGTTTTTCTAAGATAGCTACCTATGGAAATTGATCAGAAACAGACAAATTAGGACCATCTTCCCAGGCTGTCAGATTTTTTTTTCAAGCATAAAGAAGTAAGACAGGGATTGTCAAGTACCACCATGGGGTCCTTGGCTGGGCAAGGGGAGAAAGGGGTTGGGTAGTGGTTAAACGGGTAGGCTTCCCAGCAGGTGTCACTGGGTGAGTGCTGGATAAACGGAGAACTTTCTATCCAGATGAAAGAGTGACATGGGTATCAGGTACCAAGCAAGCCCTCTTGTGCTTCCTCCTAGCTCCCTGATTCCTATTCAACTTTAGGGCCCCAATTCCACCACCAAGCTCTTCCAGGTCTCCCAAATTCATCTTGCTTGCTACTTTTTTTTTTTTTGAGATAGGGTCTCTCTACATAGTTGAGGCATAGTGAGTTGAGGCTTCAACTCACTCTTTAGCCAAAGCCCAAGCTGGCTTTGAGCCCATGGTGACCCTCCTGCCTCGGCCTCCCAAGTGCTGGGATTACAAGGGCGACCACTATCCCTGGCTTGCTCTCTACCTTTGAGTCCTTGAAATAATAAGGACTTATCCCTGGTTTCAGATATTGGTGTATCCATCTGTTCCCCAAGGACCAATCGCTGGCTGTTCACGGTCTGGACACTTGGGGTGCCTGGCACACAATCTGCACGTGGGAACTCAACTGACGTCACCAGACCCTGCTCAGGTGATCTCGGCGTGGCCACCCATGGTTGGCCTTCTGAATGGGAAGTGCTGGCTTTGCTCAAGTGACTCAGTCTCTGTAGCAAACTAATTTTTACTTTTGCTGGGGTCCATTTCCTGCCTGGCACTTTGAGGCTTGTGTGTACCAGGCTAGAATGAATCACCTTGCTAGCCCCGTGCTGCTCACACGGCCATGTATTTAGACTCCCAAGATGTTTCTGTGCCCTCAGCCAGGTACAACTGGACAAGACGGCCATGACCCTTGACCTGACAGAGCTGCGTCCCCAGGAGGAGCAGGAGGAGAGAGACATGGAAAACACAATAGAGACAGCCTGAGAGAAGCCTAAGAAAGAAAACAATCAGGGCATCACAACAACAAAACACTCGGAAGGCCCTGTTATGACATTTAAGCCAGATTCTGAAAGGTGGCATTGCCTAGGCAAGGGGCCAGGAAGAGCCTTCCAGCTATAAAGGCCTGGGTGGAAATGTGGTGGGGATATCTGAAGAACTTTCTGGAGGCCAGGGTGGCTGAGGTATACCAAGTTAGGGGTCTGGAGAAGGCTAGAGTCAGACTGTGAAGCCTTTTCTCTTTTTCTTT